AAATTCTAACTAAGAGTAGAAATTAATTTTTTAATCGAAGTCTTCCTTGGCGTTGCCGTCCTGACTGCTTAAGGTCCCTATTGAGGGCCTCCTCGAACGCTTCTTTTATTCCGCTCCAAAAACCATCAAGCCCGTTGAGAGTGATCTAATCTACGACTAATTTCTAATGCTTTTGAATTGAGCCTCTTCCTGAGTTCGTTCAGTGACTCAGAAGAGTTTCTCAATAGATCCTGACTGAGCGACATTTTGGTCATCTTTTCATAGCGGCCTGAATCCTAGTACGATCGCTCCACAAAAATGCCTTGAATTGTATTGGTTAATTGTATTGGTTAAAATTGTTCGGTTAAAATTTTGCGTTACTTAATGAAGCGTCCTTAAAAGCTGGTATCTTTTCCAACAGGAAAGTTCTGAAAAAAAAAAAGAAAGAAAGGAAAAGATTGAGCTCAGATTTAGATCATTTTATCTCAATCGTATCGTGAATGTAACTCGGTCGGACACCGTATTCTGTCGAAAACGTGAAAAAGCTGTACCACGGTTCCTTATAAACTCACGATTTATTCGCTTGATTCAACAATTTTGCTACTACGCTTCAGTTGACTCCAACTCACAACTCTTGGCTTATTAGACGGAAACACACTCAACGTCCCGTTGTAAGCACGTGGAACAGCGCCATATATGGGACGATAAAACACGTGCTGCATACATGTTTGCTTAGTTACGTATAAATGAAATGCCTTATAAATGTCAGTCAAATTGAGAATAATTAACGTATAGTACAGTTTCCAACAATCCGGTGTCGATATTCATTCTCCATCGAAACACCTATGGAACAAGTCCTTATTTATCGCCGCAGGGAGGGGGGATGCGGAGGGGAACGAAGGGGAAATCAGTAGTCGCCAAAAGAGTAAAGATGGGGTACTAGGTGATAAATAATGACCCTTCTCTAAGCAATTCATGAAACACCTGTCACATTGTTGGATGAACTTGGCTGGGAAAGGCTGGAATATGTAAGACTTAAACAGTTGGCTGTGACAATGTATAAAATCCATAATAATCTTTCCCCATCGTATCTAAGGCGGATCTTTATCAACACCTCAAATGTACATTCACACAATCTTAGAAATTCTGAGTTAAGTTATTATGTCCCCAGACCCAGAACTGAGTCTGCAAAAGGGAGCCTACACTACAGAGGATCTGTTCTGTGGAACAGGATTCCCTCAGAGACTAGAAAACTGCCTAGTTTAAATGTTTTTAAACTTCATTTCATGGGAAAGATTTTTCTAATACACCATTGTAGCTTTTATTACCAACAATGTAAGTTTTTGTATTTTTAACATTATAGCTAATAGTTCCTTATTATTCACGATGTAAGTTTTGTATTTTTAATATTATATTCAATAGTTCCTTAGAGTATTTTAGTTTAGTTTAAAGACGATTCCTAGAAAGACCATGTAAAATGATACGATTTCGTGTATAAATAAAGATTGATGATGATGATTCAAAAGAGACCAATAACCCGTTTTTGAAAGATTTGTTAGGTTGCCGTCCCAAAAAGCTGCTTTTTTTTTAATCTAAATTTTACTTTTTCATTCTTTGCCATGTCAACATTTAAAATCGTGATATTAATAGTTGTGAAAACAAGAATAAAAAATATCAGATTACAAAACAGGATAGGTTGGTTACGAGTTGAGATCCGTTCTACTATTCGTTGAGTTAGCGTTACTTACTAGACGCGAACTCCAGATAAAGATTAAAAAAAGACCTCGGATGGATTTTCTTGAATGAGGACTCAGTCTAGCAAGCAAGATAGTAAAGGCCATAGGAATATATACCTGGCTCTTTCCGCCATCTCGTCCCCAGACCACCGCGGACTATAGGGGTATCCCGCTTCCAGTTTTTCGTAAGGCTGGTTGTTTTTCTCGTGGTAAATCGACTGAAGGTAAAATAACGGCGCCTCTTGGGGAAAGTTTTTGTCTAATTCAACTGAAAAAAAGACTTAAGTGAGTGATGATAATGTTTAGTCCTGGGCTAAAGCCAAATGACCTGCACACTTAAAGCCTGTTTCAGTTTCCATTAGGACTAGAGATATTGCCGTTCCCGTGCACAGCTCCCATATTACTCAGCGTTACGGCCTCCTAACAAGACAAAGGGTTACTTTTTTACTCGGATTGTATCGCCGCGAAGGGGAATCGACGAAATTTTTTTCAACTTTAACACAGACCTCTCAACCTCAAAACACCAAAAATCTGGAGACTGATGTAAAAAAAATCTGGAGATTGGTCGACCGGCAGNTCTATTTATCGTGAGATTTGTCTGTCTCGTCGTGAGACCGTGAGATTGAACTGAAAATCGTGAGTCTCACGACAAAATCGTGAGACTTGAGAGGTCTGGTTAACACCATAAATGCAGTTGAGCCAGGTCAGCGAATTCCCCCTACCACGTTACCGAGTAAACCTCTGTCAGGCTTACTGGGTCTTTTTGTCTTTCTTCTTTGGTTTGGGAGGGGTGGGGTGAGGTGGAATGCTGAGGGAAGGGGGTGTTACATCACTTAATAAAAAACCCACGCTTTGATCAATTCCTGTTAGGTGCTGGACTGATTTTTATTCAATACGTCTCACTTTTTTATGTTGCAGAAAAGATGTTTCGTTTCGTTTCGGTTTTAAACTTGTACCAGAACTTTACTTACTATGAACAATACAGAAAAATCCTTGTACTTTGAACAGTAAGGAGAGCTTCATGAATCCCTCAGCATCATACTCAAGTACTGAGCTATAAAAAAAAAGCGATGTTAAATAGATATCAAAACATACTACATTTTGTTTTCCTCTGAAGCATCACAACAGGCCAGAATCCTAATCGCATGCTTGTAACTGGTCCACCTTTTAACAATACAGACCATGGTCCAGAATTTGGCCCGCACCATTTGTGGCAATGCGTGAAAAAAAGCAAACCAGAAGAAATATTTAAGACATTTAAGTGCAGATCAGTCCAAATAGGAGAGACACTGTCCCCTGGTCTTAAGTGTAACCCTCTGCCTTCAACCTTGGGCCATACTCAAGACCACAGGCACAGTTTTTTTTTCCCCATATAGACCCCCTTCCTGGTAAATAACATAATTTATATAAACACTCTCAAAAGTCATACCTTATTTACAGGACTTATTCAAAAGAAAGCTATAGTTGCCAAATTATTTGACTGGGTTGTAAGCTGTCCCTTACCTTCCAAATGCACTGAGGAAGGCTGCAACATATTCCCTTCTTTTGTGGAATGCCTGACAAACTTGCTCCACCTTTCAAAATGCAATTAAATATTAAGCAATCTCATAAACCAATCAAGCAATGAATAAGTAGTAGGCTCATCCTCCTATTAAGTAATCCAACTAGTGATAGTAGGTGAGGAAAAATACCAAGCTAACCATGGGATTTTCAGTCTAAGTTTTTCCTTTGTTTATTATTTTGTCAATTCACATTTACCTCAATCCAGACTTTAAATAGAGCATAGAATATCATGAAATATTGCACACTGTCCTTTTCCACTTTTTTGGTTTTGTTTTTTTGTTTTGTTTTTGTCTTACTTGTGGCAACTCTTTTATTAATTAAAGGTCACAAAAATAGTGACTTTAAGAAAATCTGAGCTTAGAGCACTGAGAGGTAACTTTTGATACCACTGTTGACCTGACCTTTTGTGCAAAGAGTTCCTGGATAAGAGGAAGGTATTCCAGCAAGCAGCCATTTACACCCAACCAATGAGGAATACGAAGATTGCTGGCCCCACCAAACGCTCTGTAAAATGAGTATGAAAATGAATGGATTGACTACAGAAGTGTGCTAAAGAAAAAAATTGTACTTTTCATCTGTCATTAAAAGCATTACATATTTAACTGGAGATTGATAGCATTGAAGATTCCATGGAGTGAACTTACTTTTAAAAAATAGCCATCAAATGTACCAACTTAGAGTATTTGGCTATGAAAGCCTGAACCTTTTTACAAGGTAGTATTACATGTATTCCAGTAATCAATTACCATGAATATTCTGATTACTTATCTTTCAGTGAAAGCCTGTATGCAAATGAATAGCCATATTTATACGTCATTTCTATGCAAATGATTCACCTTTCTACACGGGGTGACAACAAAAGCGTGGGTGTAACATGCTCTCCATTAAGAGATGTGTAAGAGACAAACAGGCATGCCATGTCTTCTCCTGGACAGTCCTGGTGATCAAAGAATTAAATTTATACCAGCACAATCGTCAGAAAAACAAATTTTATTCTGTGCCGCAACCAGTAGACCCCATTGCCTTAAGAAGACTTGCAGTAAGCAGTCGAAACGTTGCGTTCTACATCTACTGACTTTGTCGTGAGACAACAGAACAAATTTATACTATCATCCAGCTATCACGATGAACAACAACCTATTTCATAACAAATTTTTTTTTTTTTAAAAAAAAAAAAACTATTAATCAAAAGATATCACTCTTAACCACACAACTCCCATTAATGACCAGGACAGAACTTCTCATTACCAAATTGATACAATATCATGAAGACAAGTGATGAGAATAAAGAAAAAATTAATATCACTTGGGGGATTATTAGAAGAAAGAAGAAAGTCTTAAGTACTCTAAACAACAAATGTGTCTAGTTACAATGATAAGGTTGAGATCGGATGTCAGCATCATCAGGT